TTCATCTGTCAAATTAAAAGCAAAACGATGTGAACTTCATTATTTTCATCAGTCGTATTTAGAATTTTTCCATCAGTGAAATAAAATACACGTCTTCATTAAGTTGAAGAAGTGCTGAATGTCACTGCATTAGAGTGTCATGCATAAGAGTTCTGATGTCTCTATTAATGGAGTATCTGAAAGCACGATTGTGCATGCGCTTAAACTGGCAGTGGTTGCTCTTAATTTTCCTGATTTTGCAACAGTAACATGAGGCTATAAAAAAAGAGCATATTTTTTCTTTGTCTGTGAGTAAAAGAAGAAACCGTAGCTATATATATATATCGATTTTTACTCTAGTGCAGTTTGTTTTGGTCCCGCAAAGCCGGGTGCGTCTGTTTCCATATGAGCTCTATCAAACATATTTAGCCGAGGGAGTGGGTGTGGGAAAGCAACAGAAGCAAATCGGAGGGAATGTGTGAATGGTTATATGTGTGTGTGTGTTAAACAATACCCTGAGGCTCTCTCAGTGCTCACACTGATTCAGTGCCCTCTCCTGCTGTACCCCCAGATCCACACATTTTAATAGTCGCATTCCTTCGCACAGGGTCCTGGCGGCAGCCCTGTAGTGCGCCTGCCCCAATAGCAAAACACAGAAGGGGGTCAGGGGGCATATCATTACTCTGTAAGACAAATAGACCATCTAAACAAAACATGACACCCTGAACGTGAATGCAAAATTGTCCAAAGGGCAGTGCACACATTTTCTTTTGTTCAATAATGTGTTTTAATTCAAATTCTACAGTTTTGAGACCTCAACAGTCAATGTCTTCTTTTTTTTAATGTAATAACATATAAATGTTGCTTCCTGAGTCCAGCTTGAAGTATTTAAGCACTATTAAGCTTCACTGCTGATACCAGTATTAAAGTGTGTTTTCACTCTCTTGCCAGTCTTGTTCCATGCTCCATAGCCAGGTGCTGGCATTTTGTCTCACTTTATCAGCCTGGACACTCTGAATCAGTGACCTTTCTCTAAAGGATGTCAAGTATTTTATGTGGCCTCTTAAAAAGTTGTGTATTTAGGCAAACATGTCAATTGAGGGACCACAGAGACTAAACACTCCATGAAGCGCAGTGAGCTGTAAATGCAGGCGGGTTAGAGAGGCTTTGTGTGTGTGTGTTATGGATCGTAGAACAAGGCTGGTGGAGTTGATAGTGGGGTCGTTTCCCCGCTTTAGTACCCTGCTTCCTTAAACTGATTTGCAGATGCACATAAAAACCAAAATTGCTCATTTTCAGCCATTTTACGACTCTTTTAAAAAAGGCAACAAAACAACGGACACGGTTTGAGTTATCTTACTACCCACACAAGTTGTCTCAATTTGTTTGTATTGACAGTAAAAGCTCACAAGAGGAAACCATAATGCACCAGGGTGGGTAAACTTTCCCTTGTAAGGAGCCTCCGGAAAGATTTCAACATCTGAAACAATCATATGATTCAGCCACTGTGTTGCTAAGAGCTTGTGTTGAAAACAATAGACGGGCTTCTCAGCAACACGGGCCGGCTCAGGACTTCCACCCCATCATGACAAATCTGTCATCCTGTATGAAGTGTCTCATACTAGCGGGAGATATCAGCAACACTCACCACCCTTCTATTATAAACATGGGGAATGTTACAGAGTGCAGATGGGAAAGCAAAGCTGATAGGAACTGACTGCGCATATATTCAAGGTGTGTTTGCGAGTGAAGTGTAACAGAGTGAACAGTATGAACCCAGCGAAACAGGAAAACCAGGCAGGCTTTTACACTAGAGGAATTTCCTGCCTGTAAGATGTGTGTCATTGTGTTTCTCCTGCTTAGGAGAAACAGACAGCTTTTAGGCTTACCATTTACATTAGCTGAAGCTTCTAATTTCAGTGTCCTATTCCTCTCAAAGTCTTTGTTAGGTTTTACACAATAATATAGCCCTCTATTCAAAAACCACATTCTCCATCATTGGCATCATTTTTCTTGATTAGAAAAACTTTTTATTCCGAGCAAAATTCCACTAAATGTTAAAAACACAAGAAACAAACAGAAGTTAAACTTCTTAATCATTGTCACTCGTGACCTGTCTGTGTTTGAACTACTGACTTATCTGTTGTGGCCTTTATTTATTGTCTGTTTCCCGGTGGTAAAAGGGTGTTTACTCTGTGACTTAAAAGCAAAACAGTTACCGTCAGGGTGTCTCTCCAGCCCCGTGGAGCCTATCAGTATCATCTCACAGTTGGTGACACAAAGAGAAATGAGATCAGGAGGTGGGATGGAGGTTGGTGTCTTCTGGAACAAAGATTAATAGCTGGTAATGACTGTTTGCTGATTTAGAGCTGGAGATTACCTTTCTTTTGAAACTTCGAGTATTTTACAAAGCTGTCTTCTTTGCCACAGTGCACCTACAGTACAACCTAATTTCAGTTGGGGATTTGAGTGTTTGTGGTATTAGAAACTAATGTAGTGTTAAGCTGGTAGACACAAACTGCTTAGGAGGTCTGGGAAGCCTGATTCGTTCTCACTTCACACTCCAGCATTTTTCATCTTTAAATGTAAAGTTTAGTCTTTGCATCCCAAAGCACTCTTCACAGAGCTCCCTCTATTTAACAAAGCTTAAATGATTTTATTCACTGTGAATATATTTTTTACAGTTGAAGTGCACTGCTCTATTGCAGATCCACTTTAAAAGGGAGAACAAAAGAAAAAACTTTATTTCTTTTCTCGTGTTTTCAGAAAGAAAACATGAGAAAATTAGTAACAGTCTTATATCTAAGCTGGGACCACCACATCCTAAGCTTAAGACAGTGGTTTTCAAACTGGGGGATGAGCCCGCCTGGAGGGGCACATAGTCTTTGCAGGGGGTCATTGAATACCAAGGAGTGAAAATAACCAGAACAAATGTGATTTATTTAAGGAGAATAAAAAGTGAGAGTTTTCTGATGCTATTAGACTAACCTTTCATCAGAAATTTCTTTGGATTTAATTAGTTAATCATTAATTGAAAACGATGTCTGTTCCTTCTTTGCCTTTGGAGGGAGACCTCGACCTCGTGTAACTCTGTGTAAACCAACCGAGAAACAGAACTTACCCATGTGAAAGCATGATTTCACACCTTCACATCTTGATATAGCTGTTCTAACATGTGATAGATGCTTGTTTGTTGTAAAGCATATCCTCAGTTATTACAGAGAAAGAGTCAAGTGACACTATACGTGTGTATGCATGTGTTCGCATACGCGTACGTACTGCATAGAGGCTATACCACAGTGCCGATATGTCAGTTCTATATTTAAAATTGTTGACCAGCTGTGTTGAGTCCTGTGAAGTGTGCTATAAGTGTTTTGCAGCACTTCAAATCTGTTGCCATAGTGGCTGAGTGATGATGTCAAAGCCCAGGCATTGGAATAAAACCACACCCCCTTTTCAACCGAAAAGACAAGATGGAAAATACTGTTCAGTTAGCCAGACCCAATTACACATCATCGAAAGCAAAAGAGACTCTGGTTTTAGGCACAGAACATACTTAATAACGGAGCATGCTTTGTTCACTGGCTTGTTCCTGCTTGATGGCGTACATGCAGGTATGCATGAAAAGAAGTAGAGGAGGAATTACTTCAAAGAAAAATGTAACCAATACTCTGATGCTTTAGCAGGTCACACAGATAAATGTGTGTGCACAGATAGCACGAAACCTATGTCTGTCAGTAAGTAGACAATAAAGAAGCCCGTGATGACTAAGAGCTGATTATCATTTGCTGATACTATTATACCCTGTGTCTAACCTCATGCATGAGGTCATAGGACTCTGATTGCACCACCATGACTACCTCCAATTGCTTCAGATTTCAGAACATCCAGAAGCATCATTATAAAACAGCAGTGCATCTTTTGGAAGCTGCACTATCTTGTTATTTGAGAGCCATCGTGTGTTGGGGTTTCTGAATAACAGACCATGACCTCAGCTGAAAACTTTCAACAACAAATGTTTTTTATGGGTACAGCTCGTTTGTCTATTAACCACACGTTGTGCCTTGGCTCTCAAAATGAACCAGCACTCTCATCTTAGGGACTTAAAAACAGAG